TGAAGGTGACAAACCACCATTGAAATGCATGATCTTTGGTGATGCTCCCTATCACACAATGTCATGTACAACCCGTTGCTGGTCTGCCTCCTCCTTGTAGTAAGCTGCCTCCTGCTAGCAATGGGAAAACTTGCCAATAACTGCAAATCTCAACTCATTCCCATTCCCTATGTGATAAAGCCATACCACCTGCCAGCACGGAAGTTACATCAAGGGGTGGGATTCTACTCATTCCCGTTCTCCGTTGCTATTCCCTAGGCAGTATTATTTTTAATTTTAAGTATTATTTTATTTTTTAAAAAATAACTCTAGTTGGAATTGCAATTTTTCTTTTAAAATTATTTTTGTAAAAAAAAACCCATGGTACAGCAGTAAGGCATTGTTACGATGTCATGCAAAAGTAGGAATGTGGGACCATAGATCAGTGAATTGGTGCAGTTGTGTGGATGTAGAGACATGCAACAGCGCCAGGCAGTATATTGCTTCTATCCGTCATTGTGTGACTGCTGTGAAATAGTGGCTTTGTATTAGAAGCTTCTGTATCACTTTAAACCTCTCAGAAGTTTGGAACAGTTGCACCTGTGCTGAGCTACCAAAAAAAAAGTATCTGGGCAAGCAACTCTTAGGACAGTGGTTCTCAACCTGTAGATCACAGGCATTTTGGCCTACAACTCGCATAAATCCCAACCAGTTTACCAACTGTTAGGATTTCTGGGAGTTGAAGGCCAAAACATCTGGGGACCCACAGGTTGAGAACCACTGTCTTAGGAGAAGGATCTCCTCTCTGAAATAACCAAATAAGCTCTGAACTTTTCTAGTACTCATTTCCTAAGGAGGAGACAAGCCAGGCTGGAATGGAGTGAAAATCCATCTATTACTGAAATCCTAAGCAATAGTGCTTTACATTGCCACTTTTGTGATAAAATAATAAATTGATAAAACCATTTAACTAATTCTGAAGCTTTTAGACCTCCAAATATTTGAATGAAATAATCAATAGTCTGATGACAACAGTTGTGGTTGTTCTCCTAAATATGGCAAATAAATAAATAAAGACAGCCCAACATTTGAAGGTCGAGTATTTATTTATTTATTTATTTATTTGCTATGTTTATATCCTGCACTTCTCAATCCCAAAGGGGACTCACACTGGCGGACATAAAAGCACAGTTCAATGTCATACATTACATACAATACATATCCAGCAAATAAAAACATATACATTAAAACATCTCCTAAAAACATATAAACATTAAAATTATTAAAATCACATAATCCAATATTGTAGTCCAGTAGCGTTCTACTCCAGAATTAGAAAAATGTGGCTATCGTATTATTGTTCAATTGTTCTTTTAATGGATGTGTACCACCCTGCATTCGTTAAGGTATAAAGAAAATCAGTGCAATATAGTGGTTCAATTGTTAGAGTGGGAGATCATAGTTCAAATCCATGGTTCATGCTCTCTTGAGAGCTGTAAAATAATTAGTCTCACTTTTCCTGTGTTTCTCTGGCTTTCAGCTACATACCCATTTGATCCTGAGTTGTATATCAGTTTTTGCTTTCCATATCGCTACTCATATTTTTGCATATTGCTGAATTCATCCCACATGGTCCCAAATGTTTGCCAATTTTTCAAACGTGTGCTTTTTTAACCATTCACATTTTTAAATTATGAATGAGTTTGGTTACATATTGTATTTCTCTAAACTACACTGTGAGCCATGTGTGTGAATTTCTGGGGCAAAGTGCCTTTTGACTTTCGGTGTGTCTTGGGATCTGTGAAATTGATTTTTTCATTGGAAATCTCAGCTAGGATGAAATTTGTTTCCGTCACTGCATCTTTTAGAGTTCTAACAAGCTTCTCAGGAAATCAGCCAATAAGGAATATGAATAGTTTGTGGTGCCTAGGTATGACTGCTTTTCTTCAAGGAGGCTTCCAAAATATTGAGACTGCTATTGTGGGTAATGTCATAGTTCTCTTTTTGGAACTCCAGGATTGTGGTACATCAGCTGCTGTTCTTTCACCTGGTTTTCGGGTCTGGTGGAAGAGACTGTCGGAGATCTTGGTATCTTTCTTTGAAACCCTGAAAGTTTCAATAGATGCCTAAGGAAGTCTTAATTCTAATTATGGCAAATTATCTGAGTTCAGTAATGTTTGCAAGGAATAGAAAATCCTTATCACAATAATGATACATCTAATTTGCAAGAACTGTTTCAAAGTCACTGCCTTGGGCATTAGGCAGCTGTCTATGGTAAGGAGGAAATAAAATACCTTTGGAAATGGAACCCCTTTATATATCACTGTCTACTCCAACAGAATTGCTGGAAAGGAAGTTCAAGGTGCTTCAGATGGATGAAATTGAAAAAAAAAACAGAATAGGAAAGTCTGCATGCGCATTACATGAAGCAACACAACAGTGTCAGAAAGCATAAAAAATCACCTTGCGCTGTTTGCCAGTTCAGTATTTTCCTGTGGGGAATTACGCCAGAGGTCTCTTTTATACCCATTGTATTCTCAGATCACTTTTAAACAAATACTTCAAGAATGAAGACCACAAGGAGAATTCTTCATTCCCATACTACATAATGTAGTTATTTTGTTGCTGGTGGTAGTGGTTATAAGAAGCCAGGATTAAAAAAAAGGATATGTATGCATTCCCTCCTTTGGCCTGTTTATCTTTATGAATTAATTGGATACATTGCTGAATGCAAATTCTTACACACAAGTGTTAGATTTATACTTGTATGCACTATTTCATTTCCTATTCAGTTTTTTTTTTGCTCTTGTTTGTTTTGTGTTATTAAGAATCCTGGAATCTTGCCAGCCTTTCATCATACAGATTAATTCTTATAGGAGCCTCTGATGGAATTCAATTTGCTTGAAAATATTCTGTTGTAGAAGAAAATAACCATGGAATTTTTTGAACTTTGAGTGTAAGTGGGGAAAAAGAAAAAAACAACATTAAAAAAGAAATTTAAGGGAATAAAATATTTTTTTACAGGGACAAAATCTATTTATAGCAGATTGTGAGGGTAAAAGGCTGATGTGACTTCTATCCAGCTTTGGAGGGTGAAGCTGGTCGTGATAGTCACTGAGTCTTTTTGAACCCTGGCTGTTACTATTCTGTGCTAGTCTAATAGCCATTCTCTTCAAAGCTTAGTGCTGAGGAAATGTGTGCAGCAGTGGGATATTGCTTTATGGGTCCAGTTGCAGTTGAGAAACTTGTGTGTATGATATGAGGAGTCTTGGTTCCTATAATGGTGTAGAAAGAAAAGTAAGTGATAAAACTAGAGGAAAGAAGGAGAAGCCTGTTTTTGGTGTAACATAGTTTGCTGTAACATCCAGAAAATCAAACAGCTTTTGTCTCACTAACTGCTTCACAGCCTGTCATATAAAGTAGGTATGGGCAAATTCCAACCCGTGGGCCAAATCTTTGTCACTCACAGAACACACACACACTACTCGCTCCAGCTCTCCCAGTTCTAGCAATAGCAAGGCAGGGCAGTGAGGGAAGGCAGGCTGTAGAGCGGCTGATGGAGGGGCAGGGAAGCGGGGAAGGAAGAGGAGGAGGCCAGGGATGGAGGAAGCACTGCCACAGCTCCTTTGTATTCCTTCGCTCTCGTCTCCCTCCCTCCCTTCCTGCCTTATGATCTCTCTCCACCTACCTTCCTGCCTCCTGTTCTCTCACTTCCTCCTTTCTCTTCTGCCTCCCACTCTCACTCTCCATCCTGCCTTGTTCTCTCTCACTTCCCCCCTTTTGCTTAATGCTCTCTTGCAAAGGAGGCCATCAAAGCCCTCCCAATAAGTGGCCATCCAGTCTCTGCTTAAAGATCTGAGAGTTGTAGTTTGGTGAGGCACTTGCACTCTTTGGCAGAGAAGGCTAAAGGCCTTGAAAAATGACAACTCCAAGGATTCCATAGCCTTGAGCCAGGGCAGTTAAAGTGGAGGCCAAACACATGAATTCTTTACCCCTGCCTCCCATACCAACCATCACTATCCAACTCCCTTCCTCACACCCAGTTTGTGCCCCCCTCCCTCCCGGCCTGTCCCATCTGTCAAATTTTAAAGTGCAATGTGACTCCAATTTGAAAAACATTGCCTACACCTGATAGAGAGAAGATTGGGTTTCACCATTTGCAGCAAAGTACTGTTTCCTATTTCATCTGGCTATGGGAAAAAAGTGCTTTGTGCTATGGGAAACAGTGCTAGGATACTAACTCAGGCTGTCCTGAGTTAATATCCTAGGTCAATACTTTTTTCTGCAGGCAGACATTTGGAGGAGGATAAGGGGCACATTCATTGTTGGGGAGATTGTAGTTGTGATTTTGGAGGCATTTGGTGTTTTAGAATGCATTTTAATTATATTTTAAACTGCATTTTTAACTGAACAATTTAAATTTTTTGTATTTGCTTTGTTTTAAATTGATCAAAGTATGTGTCTGTTAGCCGCCTTGAGTCCCCTCTGGGAGGAAGGCAGAGTAAAAATAAAGTAAACAAGTATATAAATAGTTTGTTAACAAACATGTTCAAACAAAAATAAGAAACTGAAATTTATGACAGCCGTTTCCTTCTATTAACTGAATCCTCACCATCACACACAGAAAGAGAAAGGAAAGAATGCAGAAATCTGAGAGGTGTGTACATGAGTTAGCTATTATTTATCATTGTAACTTTTCTAAAGTATAGCCTGCTAAAATGATTTAAAAAAGTCTGTTGTGGGGTTAGTAATTTGTTACTCTATTATGGTAAGAGACCACAGACCTTTTGAGACCTAAGTATCATCTAAATATTAAAATGTGAAGTATTGGTCTATTTAGAAAGAAATACATGAGCTATTGTCATCATTTTGATAAAGGCAGTTGCATACTGTTTCTTAACCTGACTTCTTTTAGGGATTTTGTGATGCTAAATAAATTGATCCTCATGTTATGCAGTCTGAAATTTGTTTGGAAGAAGGGTAGGATATAAATGACACAACAATGTTGTTTATTTCTACAGTCTTTATATGATGTTGCAGTTCCTGATGTTCCCCAGCTGCCTCTCTTCTACACGCCCATCGATTTAGTGGACATCAGTGTAGAAATGGCTGGGCTCAAGTTTCCAAATCCTTTTGGCCTGGCTAGTGCCACCCCAACAACAAGTTCGCCCATGATCCGGAGAGCATTTGAAGCTGGATGGGGATTTGCACTGACCAAAACATTTTCCCTGGATAAGGTAATATTTTCCCCACCCCATTTGTAAGGTTAAAATAACTTCTCAGTCTTGCCTTGCCTTTCCATAGCAGATTAATAAAACACAATGCTGTCAGACCACCTCAAAACCTTTTAATAAGAGACCATTTTCAAATTCACAGCATTCATGTCAAATGTTGTGCTTCCAAATACGATGGCTCTTCAGGATCCACAATGATTTGGTTCCATGATCTCTCGTGGATACCAAAATCTGTGGATGCTTGTGTCCCTTGTTATCTAATGATGTAATAAAATTGTGTTCCTTATATAAAATTGCAAACAACTCAAACAAAGCTGGAGGGGGGGGGGTGCAGATCTGTGAAATGATGGGCAGGGGCTGCAGTAGGTTATATAAACACATGAGTGTTATGCTTTGCACACGGAAAAATCAAGGTTTGCTTTTTTGGATTCCCCCGCCCCAAATGTTTTTGAACCATAAGGCTAATCCATCTATACTTATTACCTTCTTTCTAGAGTTACAGGAATACAGTGTGCTATCTAAGTGCAGTATGCCCATTTTATAAAATTAAACACTGATGTCAGTGGTAACTTTATCACACTCATGCAGATAGATCTTTTTCTTGATTGGCTTAAAGCTTCATCTCTGTATGAACTGCCAACTTTGCCTTAGCATTTCACTGTGGGTAGGAAAAGGTAGGGCAGATTATCCGACTTCTTTTTAGATTTTCCCTTGTGTGGAGAATGACTTCACCAGCTCCAAACTCCCAATAGAACATGTGAAACTTGTGAGAAGTAAATGAGAGTATAGCTTGATTAACTTATAGAGAGCATTAAACTGAAGTCAAAAGAAGGGATATATTCCAAGACAAAACTGTTGAGCATGGTGTTATTTGGTTGGTGGTGACATTGGCCAAAGGATACAAATACAAGAGACAAACAAGCTTCACATTGACCTTGTTTGGGAGGTAGTGTTGTAATCTTTCTCCCCCCCCCCCCAATAACTATATTAAATGTTTATGGCAAAGTATTGTGCAGGGCATACCTAAACATAGTTTAGTATACCATGACAATGCAGTATTCACTGTCTTACTGAATTACTCCATATTGGATTTTTTTCCACATCACTTGCATGTCTGAGGACCTTATCACATTAGGAAATGCTCTGTTTCTAAGAATATTTGAAAACAATTTCCAACTGATTCTATCACATGGCGTTTACCCATCCCATCAGTATTCTGTCAGAATCCATCTGTGAAGCATTACAGAAACTGATAGTTTCCAGACAGGATTCTAATCGTGTTTTCTGAAATACTATGGTTTCTTCCATTGCTAAAGCATTGTTTTTATGTGTGATCACAAAATCAGTATGCAACAATATGACTTGTCATTTGTGGGCGACTCTGGGGATTGAGTCTCCTGATCCTGGACTGTTTGTGATGGAAGCAGCCACCATTTCTATTTTGGACATTGATGGGGAAAGATATCTGGGATTACTGAAACTGGTAATTGCTGCTTTACCTCATTATTCTTTTAAAAATTTCAACCAGAATCTGTGCAATTTCTTCCCTCCACTTTATTTCAGTTGTCTTGTTATATCACAGAAAAAACTTGGCAATGTAATTATTTTTGATAAAGATTTCATTGCTCCATTCTCTTAATTTCCTATCCTACTACAAAATCCTTGTAAATTCATTCCTCGGCTAATATCACCTTGGCTCTGGGGTGGCACCGTCCGCTCCAGCAAGACAATCAACAAAGATTTCACAGTAATATTTGTTATGTCTTCTCAAAAAGAGAAGTAGTGCTAACAAGAGGCTTATTTGCCTCAAGTTTGGCTTCATAGAACTGCATAATACTAACCGGAACAACATCAACAATAATTGCAGCAATGGAGCCATGTCTACTGTTATAACTAACTTTGAAAAGCTAATTTGCAGATTTGATGCAAACAAGAAACCACCAGATTTTTTTGTGCCAAAAGGCAAACCTATTGCTGCACAGGTGCAAGATTTTTTTCAAATCTCGCGAGAGTGATAGTTTAGGACTTGAAGCTATGTTACTGCACTATCTTAGAGAGTCTTTTGAATAGATTGAGAGAAACCAGCCTTTGTGGTGTGGTGAGTCAAATGGCTGTATTTTCTAAACATAAGAATTGTAGTAATCAAGTGTGAATTGAACAATATGCATCTTATCTGAATACAGTATGTATTCAGCCATTTAAAAATATGAGATGCATATTGCTTGAAACAGAGTATTTCCTAATGTGATAAGTTCCCAGTCTAATGCAGTCTAAACTCAGCAAAGATACATGCTATGTACAGGACTGAACAGAAATAAGAGAAAGCCTTTTTCTTTGAGTTTGCTTCTATTCTAAAATGAACATTTCCCATTTTGGGGGAGTTGTTTTTTATTTTATTTTTCGTGTTCAGCTGGCCCAGTCTGAGTGTCTTTAGGTCAGCTCTCAATATGTGTCTTCCCAAGCATGGAGTTACCCAGAAGGTTGTATTATAATTGTTATCCAGCCAAAATTAATTCTGGATCACTGGAGCAGTCACTTCTTTAATTAAAGTGCTGTAACAGAAGCCAATGCTGTCGTGTTGCCAGTTATAAACCATATTTGCTAAGCCACTGACCTACAGTTCATATGCTCTGAACTCTCACCCCACTGCACCTACCTCTGTTCTGCTTCTGTCTCATTGCTTTGCCCAAAATGTGCCTTGTGCCATTTAGACCTCCCTTTGCCATTCACTCACATGTATTTACAAGCCATTTTCCACAAGGCTCACCAATATTGTGAACTGCAGAATTACAACTAGGAACATTTTGGTGGGGTGTTTGCATGATTGCCTGTAACTACCAAAATATTACATGCAGTTCTAACATTAAGATGTTTTCCTGGTTCTTCCCATTATTTCCTCTTACTGAGGTTCCTTCATTGGAGGCTTTTAAACAGAGGCTGGATGGCCATCTGTCAGGGGTGCCTTGCATGTGATTTTCCTGCTTCTTGGCAGGGGGTTGGATGGATGGCCCACGAAATCTCTTTCAACTCTATTATTCTATGATTCTATGGTTCTATAATTCTAGGAATGGGAGAAAGGCAGGATAGTAGACTTACAATGTTGAAGAACTAGATCTTTGTGCATATGGAGTTTTCTTCCACCATGGAACAATGTAACAGGTTTGGGTCTGAGTTTATATCAAAGGGAAAAACTCTTTCCCCCCAAAATTAAGCTCACTCAAAGAATGGTTACTGGACTTTGAATTGTGTCAGAAAGGTTTGGCAGCCAGTGGGGCTGTTGCTACAAAGGAGTTGTGTGCTCCTCTGAGTTTAGAATCTGACCACAGATATTTAAGCCAAATGAAGTTACTTTTAAAAGGCAGCTTCACATAGGAGGCCTTACAGTAATTCAAATGGAATATAACCAAGGCCTGTAATATCACAGCCAGTTCTCACTTTTCCAGATGGGCAAAGCTGACATGGTAGTTTTATCTATGCAAATGCACTCCTAGTCACTGCTGAAACATGTGTCTCCAGGATCAAGGCTCAATCCATTAGTACCCACAATGTACACATCAGCATTTTCAGGGAGAGTTTAACCCCACTTAATACAGGCTGAATCCCTATTCCCACATCCTTCTTTCATCTGACCAGAAGCATATTTGTCTTGTCTAAATTAAGCTTCATATTATTTGCCTTCATCCCTTATATTTCCTATTGTAGATAATTTTCCAACATGATCAATGGTATTTCCATTCCATAATTGGGGCTGAAACCAGGCTGAAATAGATCTAGATATTCTGCTTTATTCAGGAACCCCTGGAACTGAGTAGTTCCATGCACTCTAGTACCTTGTCCAAAAATGGAATGCTGGAAAGTGTCCTATAGTTACCTAGTATAGTATGATCAAGGGAAGGTTTTCCTCAAAAGATGTTTTACAACCGCCTGCTTGAGACAAGTTGGCATCCTGCCTTGTAAAGAGGCATAATCACTTCCCTTACTCAGCCAGTCCTGCTCTGGTCTATTTTAAAAATATAGCAGGAGGCTGAAGAAATCAGCATTAGGCTTGGGAAGGAGTAGGGAATATTAGCTTATTACTACGAATTGTTGCTGCTATTGCAAATCACTCAGGGATCTCCCTGTAGAGGGTCTGCTACCATCTTTTTTCTCACACACCATGCATTATGATAATGAATAGATCACAACTTAAATTAACACCTGAAAACAAAAACTTTACGAAAGTGTATGCACAAGTGTATATTATTTACCTCTGTGTATGTCTTATTTTAATTGATGCAATGAGGTAAAGTTATTAAATTATCCAAAATTTAGTTTTTCACATGTTCAGTTTTCTGTTCAAAATCTAAGCACAAAAATATGCATATTAGGGAACATTGTGTGCAAAAGTGTGTTTATTAGAAGAAATAATATGAAAATCTCTAGCTTTGGCAAATATTTTCAAATGAATGAACAAGAAACAGCTTATTCTAAATACGATATGACATAGAAGCACATTTCAACAAATTGGTTATAGTTTTTCCAAGAAATTAATCTATATGCCAACTAGGTTTGAAAGTTGAACTTTTAGACCTTGAAAAAATGGGGGGGGGGGGGAAATAGCATGTCAAAAGTTCCTTAAAATTGTGGGAAGCTTTTGTTGTTATTTTTCAGGGCACAACATGAACTGCAACAGTTTGCAATAAAAACCTATACTTCCCAGAGTGGAGAGAAAATGGCAGGTCTGTTTTGTTGTGCAGCACTCCTGTCCACACACTCGGCTGGCTAGAAACAATTTGTGCAAACTCCACAATTTGAATGTTGCCCACTTTTTCTTCGTTACCTTTGCTTCAGGCAAGGCTGCACAGTTCTCAGAAGAAAGCTTTGTAGTTGTCAGGGCAAAATACAAAACTTTTGGGATACTCAGCACAGTTTCCCAGCACTGCAGGGAAAATTTCCCAAGTATCTCTAAGCTACAAGATAAAAACCTGTTTCATTGTTCCCAATGTCTGTTGAGATATGGAAAA